CATTTATAATATATGAGAAACCAAAGGAATCTTAGGTTGAGGCACAGATGACCAGGGTCCTTTAACACACATAGCAGAAGCAGAATGGTAGAGAGGCAGTAGTATCGGTTCTAACAAAAAATAAAAAGACGCCGTATTTTTGACTCTTAATGTAAGAAGAGTGAGGTGGCCGGGCTCCTGAGGATCACCTGAGGTCAGGAGTTTGAGACCAGCCTGACCAATATGGTGAAACCCCTTCTCTACTAAAAATATAAAAATTAGGCAGGCATGGTGGCACGCGCCTGCACTCCTGGCTACCCGGGAGGCTGAGACAGGAGAATTGTTTGTTTGAGCCTCGGAGGTGGAGGTTGCAGTGAGCCTAAATCGCACCACTGCACTCCAGCCTCGGTGACAGAGTGAGACTTTGTCCCCACCCCCACAAAAAAAAGAAGAAGAAGAAGAGTGAGTCCTTTGCTTCCCCACCTGAGAAAATCACGGGATCCAACCCTTCCCCTAAGCCCAGGGTCCTCGCCACGGCTGTCTCTGCTCTAGGGCCTGTCCTTACCACCAGACTGGATGCCCACAACTGCCAGCAGGATGGCCAGAGCACAGCAGCCTCTGCCAGGTTCCATCAGCATCCTGCACGCTGTCAGCAGGCCCAGGAACTTGAAGCAAATGTTGGCTCTGCTGGTATCCTTGGCTTCAGTCTCCTGAAAGCACAGGGGGACCCACTAGACAAAGCTTTCCAGGGCTCCAAGACCATCTCCCCACCCCAGGCACTAGCTTTGATTGGCTAGAGTATGATGGAGGTAGAGGAGGGTCTGGGCATGTGTGTTCAGCTGGCTGGGAAGTGACGCGGTAAACCAAGTGAAATATACTAGGGTGGGGGTGGGGAGAAGGGAGAGACTCGGGAGACACCAAAGCCTATTTTCTCACCTTTTTTTTAAAGTTAAATCAGATTGCTGGGTCAAAGACTATGAGTATTAATACTTTTTTCCTACTATAATCAGATTGTTCTCCAAAAAGGCTGTTGAGAATCAGATGTTCTGTTAGAGATCTGTTTTATTTTGCATTTCCATGGTTAGTGAGGTTGAGGATCTTTTCATATGCTTGTTGGTTATTGGTATTCCCTTGTCCATGACTTGTGTGTTTATATTTCTTAAAAACTCATTTCAGGAACTTTCTCTATATTAGAGATATTAACCCATCTGCCATTTTTTAGGCAAATACTTTCTCCCAATTTGTTGTTTATCTCTTCACTTCGTTTATCATGCTTTTTTTTTTTCCACAAGGAAAATTTACATCGTATGTAATTGAATTCAACATACCTATCTTTTCCTCTAAGTTGTCTGGGTTTACTGCATTGTTCAGGAAAGCTTCCCTCCGATTGAGGCTATACTTTTCATTCAGTATTTTTTTTGTTTTACTTTTTATAATTATACCTTCTAATCCTGGCTAAGAAAAATTACCCCTGTTTCAAAATAACTGAACAAAAACAAACACCTGAATTTCATCAGTAGGGAAATGGTTTAATAAGTTTCAATTAATCTATACAATAAAATATTATATATTATTAAAAGAATGAGATACTTCTATAAATATGGGCCTGAACATCTGTTTATGATATAGCATTAGGTTAAAAGGGCAAATTGCATTTATGTATATAAAATAAATATATTTTTATTTTTAAAAAATCCTCTGTGTATATATTTTTTAAATGTGTTTGAAGTTTTGTAGTTTATAACTTTTAAATAGGTAATTACATTCACAGAGTTCAAAATTCAAAAGAGGAAAACAAGAATTTTTCTATAAATTTATTTTTCTGATTTTTATAATCAGCTTGTCTCATCTCTCCCTTCCTACCATGTACCACCAAGAAAAGTCCTATTGGTATTTTTTTTTATTGGGATAGGTTCAATTTATGTTTTAACTTAGGGAGAATTGAATTTTTTGTTACATTGATTCCTTTGATCTGAGAACGTGATACTCATTTTTCAAATATGTGTGTCTCAGATATGTATAGAAGTTTTCTTCATAAAGTCTTTGTCCATTTCTTAGCTAAGTTTGTTTCTTGAATAATTCATATTCTTTGTCACTATTGAAAATGTCATCTTTTACCCATTGTATCTTTTTTTTTTTTTTTTTT